AAGATAGTATTCAACTCACCATTTGTATTCGCTAATTTTGTATATCACCCGAATTGTTATGAATATGATTACGAATAAGCCTCGATGTTCTGTTGGCGATAATAACTATGCAATTTATTCGAAGTGGAATAAAACGATTTTACGCTGGTATTTCCCTCGTGCCGCTGCATATGTGTCACTGAAGGCGTCTGAATGTCTCTGTTATGACGCTCTGTTACCCCCTGTGTACCTCTGCTACCCTCTGTTATTGTGTCTTTGTCTTTTAAAATGTTGAACGTCACACGTCACGTAATTTATACATTTCACGTTCTGCGTCATTTCACGTGACATTTTACGTTCTGTGTTGAATGTCACATAACTGTCACGTCCTGCGTCGAATGTCACGTCACTTCACGTGATATTTTACGTTCTGTGTCGAATGTCACATAACTGTCACGTCCTGCGTCGACTGCCACGTTCTGTGTCTAATGTCACGTTCTCTTAGGCAAACTGTCACGTCCTTCGTCGAATGTCACATAACTGTCACGTCCTGCGCCGAATCTCACGTTATTCACGCGACATTTCACATTCTACGTTGAATGTCACGTCCTGCGTCGAATGTTACGTTATTTCACGTGACATTTTACGTTATGTGTCGAATGTCACGTCCTGCGTCGAATGTCACGTCATATTTTACGTTCTGTGTCGAATGTCACATAACTGTCACGTCCTGCGTCAAATGTCACGTTATTTCACGTTCTGTGTTGAATGCCACGTCAATTCACGTGACATTTTACGTTCTGTGTCGAATGTCACATAACTGTCACGTCCTGCGTCGACTGCCACGTTCTGTGTCTAATGTCACGTTCTCTTAGGCAAACTGTCACGTCCTTCGTCGAATGTCACATAACTGTCACGTCCTGCGCCGAATCTCACGTTATTCACATTCTACGTTGAATGTCACGTCCTGCGTCGAATGTTACGTCATTTCACGTTCTGTGTCGAATGTCCTGCGTCGAATGTCACGTCATATTTTACGTTCTGTGTCGAATGTCACATAACTGTCACGTCCTGCGTCGAATGTCACGTTATTTCACGTTCTGTGTTGAATGTCAAGTCCTGCGTCGAATGTCACGTTATTCACGTGACATTTCACGTTCTGCGTCAACTGTCACGTGACATTTCACGTTCTGTGTCGAATGTCACATACCTGTCACGTCCTGCGTCAAATTTCACATTCTGTGTTGAATGTCACATAACTGTCACGTCCTGCGTCGAATGTCACGTCCTACGTCGACGTTCTCTTAGCCACTGTACGGAAAAGAAGAATGTTCAAGCGATGACATGGCTTCTCTGTGTGTGTGTCACCAACGCTTTGACACCTCATACGTCAAAATCAGACCAATAGCAACGAAGATACGTTTTAACGTCCATTTGGCAACGCCGCCATCTTTGTTTTTAGTCTCAACGTATTCGTTACCTCCTCCCCGTTCCAACAAGCCCTCGTACGCCCCAATCGGACCAATAGAAACGAAGATATGACGTAATGACCTTTTGGCATGCTCCGATGCGCACGGCACATATTTCATTCAACCCCATTTTTCATCCCCTTTCCAACGAGCCCTCGTACGTCATCCTACGTTAAGCCGTTTGGCATTTGCAACCGGGGGTTGCGATTTTAGGGGTTGCAATTTAAGGGTGCGCCAGGAACCGCCTAGTCTATCTACTCGAGAATATCTACGACAATGTTCCAGATGATAAGATTCCCAAAAGAAAATTGTGAAAATTGTGAAAGGTTTGCGTTACCTGTCTTCAAAATTAGTAGGTAGCTGTAGTATGTTTTTTGTTTTATCTAGAAATATATTATGTTTGTTTACTTAATTACGCCAAATAATGTTGTTTTCTATATTACACATTTTGTTTTATGTAAGTATTATGTATGAATAAGTTTTTTTGCTCGTTTATACCTAATAAACAAAAAATTATTTTGTTATTTTTTTAGATATAACAAATTTGAGTTATACTCTAATTTTTTTATGAATAATGTATAATAACTTATATCCATTAATTTAATTATTTTGTTATATTTTTAAATAACATATAACAAATTTTAGTTTGACGGATACTACAATTCGTTGGGAAGTATTCAATTTCCCTGAGTAATACTCTAACTTCATTGCTTTAATATAAAGTATTTATTTTTGATTGGTTAGTACAGATTACTACTGCATATTTATTCCTAGGTAGAACATTGTGTTCTTGTTGTCTTTGAGAAAAATTCCTCAGTTGTGTTCGAAATTTTTCTGATGCGTGGTAGGAGTGACGTTATAAACGTCAAATCTCTATTAATTTATATTTAAATAATTATTTCATTTTAATTTTTTTAATCTTCAGTTTAATTTTTACTATTTTTTATTTAAAAAGTAGTTGGCGCCGTCTGTTTTTCTTTTATCCCTCTGTCTTTCTGTTCTCTCTCTATTTATGTCCCGTAGAATAAATATTCACCCTCTTTCTTTGTCCGGCTAACTTCATTCGGTTCCCCTACTTTCTGTCAAAGTGTCAAGTTAACTTTTCTAACGTAGTGGGAATATCATTTTTTGCCTGCTTTTGAAATTTATAAAGAAGGCAAAAATTATAATACTATAAACTACATTCATTTTACATATTCCCAATTGTCAACATACGCCTGTGAAAGCCAAACAGGGTCGTACTGATGTGTATCATATGATTCTTAAAAATATTTACTTTTCAAACTATTAGTGTAAGAATTTCTTGATATTTAATCATTAAATCACAATTAAACTAAACTCTAAAAAATAACACGACCAGTAAATAACTTTAATATAAATATATCACACAATATCCTAACTTAAAATCCAACACCATACAATTTGAATTTAAACAGACTCGCAAGTTTGGATCTGTAACATGAGAATATATCTGGTTTAAGGCAATAAATTATATTTAATAGCCTCTAGACGAATAAGTAGGCGAAGATCAACACATGCTTTTATTGATAGTTGGGAATTTGCTGAACGAATGAACTATAGACTCATTTTATGGTCTACAATATTCTCTTGGGGTAAGTACTTTCATCGTAATCTTTATTCTATAATTCTGACAGCATTTCCAATATTTCTAACCGCACTTCTTTCGAAAGCATATTTTTCCGATTATATGCATTAAGACTCTTTAACAGAATTTAACTAAGTAGTAACAATTATATTTCATTTTATCCGTGTCATACGCTATTTGTTTAATTGTAATTTTGTAAAATGGCAAGGAAATTAAACGTGTCTCTAATGCAAGCTGTTTCTGGTATTTTAGTTTATTGGCGACTTTTATGAAAGTTTATTGACCACATCAAATTTATTTACCACATTCAAAATAATGAGGACCATTTGAGGACTTAACAACTGAATCAGAATCTAGATACATTCACATGTGACTGCAGCTCTCCAGAATACACATTTAATTGGAGGACCTAACATCTAGAATACACAAGCAGCTCATCGAAGCAGTAAGTATCACAAACTAATTGTTAGGCTTTGATAGGGTTGATTGTTTTTTATTGTTTTTAATAAATATGATTGGTTAAGATTTGTTTTGTTTGCTATCAACTAACGAGTTCAGGTTCGATCCATAGTTTAAGACAAGACGAACTCACCCTTGAGATACTGAGCTAGACAAGGTACAGACGATAAGCTCCCGTGGTTGATTGAGGTATTAGTCTTATCGTTACAACCTGTAGAGAATTACTAGACAAATACAAGAGAAAAAAATGAAACCAATTTATATAGAAAACCTCAACAGCGAGGTAATATGCCATCGTATGCAAAAAGGATAGTAGGAAAATACTAGGCTGGTTTTAGTAGTAGTAAATGGAAAATTCATCAGATTGCAACCTTAAGACAAATTTAGAAAAAATCACTGGAACATGGCATAGATACTTATCACATATTTATAGACTACAAAGCAGCCTACGACTCTGTAAATAGAAGAGAAATGTTCAAAGCAATGAAAGAGCTAGGAATACCAAATCAGTTAGTAAATTTAACAAAACTAACTCTTGAAAAAGTTTAATGTAGAGTATGAATTCAGAGAGAACTGTCTGAACCTTTTAAAACAAATAACCGACTGCGCCAGGGAGACTCTCTCTTCTATATACTGGCCAATGTGGCTATGGCAAAAGTAATACGTATGTCACAAATCACAACCATTGGTTCAATATATAATAATTCAGTGCAAATTACTTCCTATGCTGATGATATCAATATTGTTGGGAGAACGGAAAACGCCGTACGAGAGGTGTATGTAGCATTAAAAGAATCACCTATAAAAATGGGTTTAATAGTAAACACCAAGAAAACGACCATTTGTTATAGAAAATGACGTAATCAACTCTTTAACACTGAAAATAATACTACCGCAGAATTTGTACGGCCAACAGACGCTATTTTGGGCTCTTTAAATCCACAATTATATCAAGAAATACAAAAATAAAACCCTACAAAACAATAATACGCCCAGTCCTAACATATGCTTCAGACACCTAGATTCGAATGAAAACATGGATGTTTCGAAAGCAAATTTAACTAAACTTCGAACTTTATGTACAACTTCGAACTTATCAGGAACCAGATATCGTAAAACATATTAAGATAGGACGTCTGAGGTGGATAGGGCATGTAATGCGGATAGAACAAAATGACCCTACTAGAAAAACGCTCCTTTAGACCCATTGATCAGAGAAGAAGAGGAATGCCCAGAACAAGGTTCCTTGATAACATCGATGAAGACATGAGAAATATGGGAATACGTGCTTGGAGAGGAAGGCGATGGATAGGGATGACTGGAGAGAAATTCTTGAGGAGGCTAGGACCCACGCAGGGTTGTAAAGCCAGAATGATGATGATGACACTTTTATCTTATACAACCTAGTGGACTAGGAAGGAAAAGTCCATCGTGGCTAAGAAACATCCGACAATAGGTAGGACAAAATTTTGAAATAATAAGAACAATTGTAGTAGCCAATCTCCATTGAGAAGAGGGCACTTTAAGAAGAATAATCTTATATTAATTAAATGTTACATTTTTTTATTTATAAATTTATTTATAGTATTTGATCTAACGGTGTTCTAAACTACTTCACTGACCCTTAGTAATACTTTTTCTTAGAATATTTTTCCTTTTTTCTATTATCTTCAGTACTTGACGAGCCATCGCTGTCACTAGTTTTAGTGCTCTGACTTTTAACATTTGTGTTCTTTGTTTTTTTTATATGTTCGCTATCTGAAGAATTACTATCTGAAGTGTGATCGTTTCTGATATGCTTTCGTTGTGTTGTTTTGTTAAATCTCTTTTCATTTGAATGCCTGCTGAATGTACTTTCCGACGATCTATATTTATGTTTCTGCTTACTTAAGTTTTTCGATTTTTTTTCTGTTACCCTATGGGCATCCATAGATTTATTCCTTTTTTTTCTATTCGTTTCTGAATCTGTAGAAGAATAATTTTTTTCTGACCTAAAATAAGAAAAATTTTGTTATTCATTAGTTAAATTAAATGGTGGTAACAACATACCAAATCCTTTAAGAAAAAATCTTATAAGAAAATATTAAGACAGAAAATAATAATAAGTATAAATATAATTATCCAAGAAGAGCGTTATGAGAAAGTACAGAAAAAAGGTGTCGCATTTTTCCCCACTCTGTACTATCATAAAAATTTCCTCTAGTGTTTTAATTAACATTTCGAATGGCTTCTAAAAACTTTCGAAGAGAATAAACATGGTCAAATTGTTTATTTACATTGGCACATTCCGCTAGCAAAATCAAGTGTTCGTTTGGCATATACCCCTGCGATATTCCCCTAGAAAGTGAATTCTGCGCACCGGAGCGAGTGACGATTGAGCTTTTCCACCTTAACTATTCAAGTTTAAGAGAATTAGTATCGCGGGAAGAAAAAATTTACTTTACTTTTGTTTAGATCGTCTCGAGGTCAGCTCGAGAGATTTTGGAAGTAAAAAGAGAGAGACACTAGAAGTTTTTGTGTAAGCTACGATGGTTTTCTTCATTTCTGGTTTATCTCGTGTTATTAAGATTGCCGTGTCGATAAACACTTCTTATGTTTACTTATACATAAAGCTGGCAGTAAATTAGCGTACAGTAGGAACTTTTACAAGTAAAGTACAACGAACTTCGTTGGAAAGTGCGGTGCTTAAAAGTATGTTCGAATAAGCTTCTGAAGAAGAGTTAATCGGTGAGATGAAGCGAAAGATAAATACAGTGCAATTTATTATAAACTTAGTACAATGGTATGAAGTACGGTAAACTTAGTATAAAGTACAAATATGATGACAGACCCGGTTCAGTAAGTTCAGAGTCATCAAAGGTAAAAGGTAAGCGCAAATTTAAATTAACTCCAATCGAGTTAAAAGTTTAATGGAAGTTTGAAAGATTGGCTTCCTTTTTCGCAGTTCAAAGCAGTGCATGATGATCCATCAACGGATAATAATAATGACAGGATAATATTGACATTTAAACAGTCTACTGTTTAATTTTATTAATACCATTCTGTCGCTGACAGGTATAAAATGTTTAATATTATTTTGTGAACTTAGATGTTATAAATATACCAACTTCATTCCTATGGTGTGTGTTTTTCTTCATCCTGGTCATTAGTTCCTGATCCAGGCCATCTCCGGCCACTTTAGTCTGCATAGAGACTTTAACGTTCCATTCTAATTGTATCCTAAGAAATCTGTAGGGGCAGTGTTATGTCTTAAGTTGCATGGCTTCTTATGATGATGACTAGGGAGGACTCACAGTCTGATATTACAAGTCGTTCCCTGCTAGATCTTGTTTACTAACGCGATGATTAGTATGCACTACTTTGTTGGCTTGCTACATGTTAATTTTACACAGAAAATTGAATTTTAATGGTTTCCCGTTGCTTTTCTCAATGATTATTCTTTCGCGTTAGGTTTACTTCTGGGTTAGGTTTTTGAAAGAATTTATGGATTGGTAAAGAACTTGGCTTAGGCCATGACTTCTCCTTCTTAGGGCGTTAAGAAGTGGTGTTTAAGTGTGGTTAATTATTAGTATATGTGTTTACAAAAAATGAACGAGGGCACGGTGCTCAGAGTCGGAAGATATGTAGGAGTGGTTTTTACGACATTTTTACTAGCACACAAACAAAAACATTTAAAAGAAGAAAAATTATGAGATGATAGCTACTAGAGCTAAACCAGAAACATTCAATAAATAAAACAAAGAAGACAACTTATAAAATATTTACCAAAAAGGGCGTCGAGAGACAAAGAAAACTCTTTTAATACCAAAATACATATTTAAACATATAACAATACCCAATATATATATATATATATATATATATATATATATATATATATATTGGATATTGTTATATGCTTAAATATGTATTTTGGTATTAAAAGAGTTTTCTTTGTCTCTCGACGCCCTTTTTGGCAAATAAATTAACAAAGTAACTCCCGAGGTCATACAAAATGTTATATGAGAATTCCAAAATCGCCTAGGTTATTGTCAAGAAGTGAATAATGGGGGTCAAGTTGAATATTTAATTTAATTGTAAAATCAAATTTTCTAGGTTATAATTGCACAAACAAAAAATTTATATTGCCAAACAGAGGACTAAAATACCTTTCTAACAAGGTGCCACACGACCCCCTTTGCTATTTAAAATTTTCGAGGGGGTGCTTATAACTCAAAGGGGGTGCTGGATGGGGATATGATTTTCATACTGTAAATTGTCAATTTAAGAATAAAAATAGACCTGTTTCAGGTTTTTTTCACATAGTACTTAATAACGCTAAAAATGAATTTATTCCATACATATGGACCGCATGATTATATATATATATATATATATATATATATATATATATATATATATATATATATATATATATATATATATATATATATATATATATATATATATATATACATCCCACCATCATTTTGAAGTCTTTTCACGTTGCAGTAATTTAGCATCACCAAGAAATACTATCGCATTCAAATTATAAGTCATGTATATTCGTTTAGTGTATCTTTTTAGGCTTGACACCGTTGTCAGTGTTTAAATTTTTCGATTTTTTTATATATTTATTTTTTTACACTCAACAGACATTTTAACTCCCTATAGGTCAAATCATTGTGTCTTGCGTCAATACAGTATCACGAGATGTTGCCAAAATATATATATTTAAGATATATCGATCCGTTTTCGTTCACAGACCGATAGGTCTACAACCTTACCGACCGCCCCGACCGGTTTAGGGTTCTCGGATTTATTATTATGGTTTAGTTGCATATTTAATTTAGCAGGTAATTTTTCCAAGAGAATTGTGAAAAATTATGAATGAACGATCGAAACGAATTTTGCCGCTGGCAGCAACAGATAAGTAATATTTGTATTATTATGGTAAAATTGACAAATACGAGAAAAACGTTCGTCTCCAATAAAATATGTTGATGTACAGACGGTGCCAGTTAGTTTTTTAAAATTAGTATTAATTTTTGGTTAAATTTTGTTTGTTTATGTTTAATATATTTTTTTTTGTTTTAAATTAAATTTAAAATATATTGTTTATGCTACCAGTGCACTGCTCATGTTTATTTGTTTTCTATTAAAATAATAAATAACTATGTAAATGTATAATTTTTGATTTACTATAATAAAATTTGTGGAAATGTTGCTTTAAAAGTTAAAAATACTTAAAGAAAAATAAAAAAATAATAATAAAAAACTTTTTACATTAGAATGAATAACTGATACTAATTTGCTGCACCTTCTTCTTCTTCTTCTTTTGGCATCATAGCCCTGAATGGGTCTTTGCCTATCTGGCTATGTCCTTCCATTCAGATCTTTCTTGTGCCCTTCTTCTCCATTGTCTCATGTTCATTGTTTTTAGGTCGTCTTCCACGTCATCCAACCATCTCGTTCTGGGCCTTCCTTTTTTCGCCTTCCTATGGGCTTCCATTGTACCATTTTCTTTGTTGTTTTTGCATCGTTTTGTCTCTGCACATATCCCAGCCATGACAGTCTTTGACTTTTCACAAATCTTACAATGTCATAACCTTCATTTAACTCATTAACCTCGACGTTTCTCCTGATTCTCCATGTGCCATCTTCCTCTTGTACCGGGCCATATACTTTCCTCAGTATTTTTCTCTCGAATGTCCTGAGTTGGGCTTCATCTTTTTTCGTCATTACCCAAGTTTCACATCCATAGGTTACTACGGGTCTAATCAGTGTTCTGTAGATAGTCATTTTGGTTATTTTGTCTAATAATTTCAATGTCATCAATCTTTTATTAGCATAGTATGTACGATTCCCGCTGGAAATACGTGCATTAATTTCGCTACTTACGGAGTTCTTCTGATTGATTTCTGTGCCGAGATATGTAAAGGCATCCACTCATTCGATAGTATAGTTGTCTATTGTGATATTATTTTCATTGTCAGTTATTCTTTTGACTGTCATATACTTCGTTTTTGTTTCGTTTATTTTGAGACCTCTTTTTCTTGCTTCAGGATCAATTTGTTTGAACACTTCCATTAGTGGTGGCTTATTCCTACTAATGATGGCTACATAGTCTGCATATGCAGTAATTTGTAATGATTTGGTGTTTATATGGCCGGTTATATTGGTTTTTCTGATGACTGCCTCAAGAACTAGGTTGAATAGCATGGTTGATAGGGCATCTCCCTGTCTTACTCCCATGTTGATGTTAAACAGGGAAGTCAGTTCTCCATCTACTTTGACTGCGGCTTTTGAACCCTGCAACGTCATTTTTATGAGGCTGATGTATTTCTTAGGTATACCTAGATTACAAAGGTCTTCCAGCATTCTGTCTCTTTTCACACTATCAAAAGCTTGTTTAAAGTCTATATACATATTATATAGGTCTATGTCGTATTCATAAGCTTTTTCTTGTATCGTTCTTAGTATGAATATGTTATATGTAGTGGCTCTATTTGGTCTGAATCCATTTTGATAATCACCAATTATATTTTCGGAGTATTCTCACAATCTATTGTAGATTATACCAGAAAGAATTTTGTATATTACATTTAGCAATGTAATTGGCCTATAATTCTGGCATTCTCTCTTATCTCCTTTTTTATATATTGGATGTATGAGGCCAACTGTCCATTCCTTTGGCATTTGCTCCTTCGTCCATATTAATGTTATCAGGTAATGGATTTTTTTCCAGAGTTCGGATCCTCCATGCTTTAATAATTCTGCCGAAATTCCGTCCGTTCCTGGTGCTTTTTTGTTTTTTAGTTTATTTATTATCTGAACTACTTCTTCATAACTCGGATTTTCGATATGCAGCTCCGCCTGATTGTCTCGTTCTGATCATTTTCGTTGTCTGCATTTAGATTTTCTTAGAAATATTGTTTCCATGTCATTATAATTTTTTACTTCTCTGTTAGTAGTTCTCCGTCCTTGTCTTTGTATATCGTTAGTTTTGGTC